GTGATAGACGTGATTATAGCTTGTCTGTACTTACCAGTGAATCAAAGACGTGATAGACGTGATTATAGCTTGTCTGTACTTACCAGTGAATCRARGACGTGATAGACGTGATTATAKCTTTCACTTGTTGTATATTATCATCAAACTCCTTGTCATCTGTTGAATCACTGCTGTCTACTTTCCCACTGCAACCTGTAGACAATTGATGGAGCAACAATAGAACACCATGTCATGTTACTTGCAATCATATAACCAATCGTGGTACTACCATTGCCCACACAGGGCTGAAAAACATACGTGATGTGCCAATCTTTCCAAAAATAAATCAAGGATGCTGGAAAATTCGTATTTAACACGAAAATACGTCGAGGTTTACAGGAGAAACTATTAGAGCAGAGATATTGAAGAATGATGGAATATTCTGGAGTGTAACAATAGTCTCAAGAACATGGTGCATTGTGATTTAGATTGGATACAAGAATCTATTGTTCATCATGACTTTTATGGTGTTGTTGTACCCATGCTAGACCACAGTGCATCATGTTTGATATGGTAAACAAGGTCAAGGTTGGTATCAGAGTCTTACAGGATAAAGTACTTTTAATCAACTGTGCACACTCGTCTGACAGCCTGTTGTAGGATGTAATGAACGACTTAGCAGCAGTACTTGATTCATGTCCATCTTCATCCTGAGGAGGGAGGGGAAAACAGACAAAATTCATCTATGAACTTAAGCACAACACTAACACTGTACGACATGTCGTAACATTGAAATGGCTTTCTATAAGAATGGTTATCTTATGGATGGGAAACGTACGATTACAGCACGTACACGGTACGACATACCGTAACATTGAAATGGCTTTCTATAAGAATGGTTATCGTATGGTAGGGAAACGTACGATTACAGCACGTACACGGTACGACATGCAGTAACGTTGAAATAGCTTTCAATAAGAATGGTTGTCGTATGGGTGGGAAACGTACGGTTACAACACGTACACGGTACGACATGCCGTAACATTGAAATGGCTTTCTATAAGAGTGATTATCGTATGGGTGGGAAACGTACGATTACAGCACGTACACGGTACGGCATGCCGTAACGTTGAAATAGCTTCCCATAAGAATGGTTATCGTATGGGTGGGAAACTTACGGTTACAGGACGTACACGGTACGACATGCCGTAACACTGATATGGGTGGGAAACGTACGTTGCTGACTTACAGCACGCACACTGTGCGACATGCCATAACATTGAAAAGGGATCGTCTTTCCGTTATTCATGCAACCAAAACGAGTAGTTACTGCTATAGCAAGGTATGGTACAGCCATGAATTTGCAGGATCGTTTCTCGCTCATGCACTCACTCACTCCAAATGCATATAGGTAGTACGATACCTTGACCATAGTGGTTAGCAATGCTTTCACTTCTGATACCAGCTGCTGATGTGTTACTATCAGTGCTTTGAGGGCATTGGTGTGGGACTTGAGTGATTCCTGAACAATAAAAGCAAATAATATCAACACCATCATCAACAACTTCAACAACACTATATCATATCACTAAACGCCAGCAAAATTAAAGCTAGATACTGCAAAACTAAAAAAAAACAAGGACTCACTCTCTTGGTGGTGACGGAACTTATAGCCTGTATCTTCCTGGACTTATGTGATGATATCTCTTGACTGACTGACTCCAGGTTAGTTTTCATCCATCCAAGAGTGATGGGTGCTTCAGGCGGACATTTGAGGTTCAATAACGATGTCATCTCACTCACAGCCTTTAGCTTCACCAGAGATTTTTCTAATTCTGAGGAACTATTCTTGCATCTGGAAATAAGTTACTCAGTCAAATTGTGAGAAAAATACAGGATAATAATATAAAGAGCAGGAAACTTCGACTTTCGACAAATGGTACACGCGTCTACCGGGAGAACCGAAAAGAGCGGGAAAGATTACTTCAATTGGAAGACCGAGTTTTCCGGAACTTTCATATCCGAATGACACATATTATTCGTTTTCCCAAGCGGAATGTTTGGTTTTCTGGGTAAATGGTAAGCATCCCTGATGTCGAATAAAGACATGTGGTTCACTCCAAGAATATTGATTGACAAATTAATTGAGTGTGTAAATCAGTATGAAGCGTAACCATAAAATACATTAGGGCTTACTTGGAGACAAGAGCTGTGATGGTGCTGTCCAAAGCTGTGACCTCATGGGACTGGCTACTGAGCATCTCAAAGTGAATCAAGGCATTGGATAGTGAGCAGATGTCTGAAGAGTGCTTGGCCTCCAACTATCGTATACAAAACATTATATATAAGATTAATGACGTACACTCATACAACTACAAAATATATTTAAAAAATAAATCTAGATTTTACACAAGGTAATATTCATTCAGGCCATTTCTAGATTGAATTAGAAATCAAAAGTTGATTTATGCGGAGGGAGGAAAACTGGAGAACCTGGAGAAAAACCCTTGAAGCACATGAGAAAACCAACGAACATCTCTACTCACAGACGTTGAGAATCGAACCCGGGTCACATTGGTGAGAGGCAATTGCTCAAGTAATCACACAATGAGTCTTTCAAAACTTACCACTTCCCTTTGAACAAATCCAAAAATCACCCCCACCCCCACCCCCCATGAAAAACAGCAGCCCCCTTCCCTCCGCGATGTAACAAATAATCAGTCCCTAAGGACCACCCATCACCTGTAACAGTTTTTTTCTATCATTGACAGTCTTGTCAAACTCCTTTAGTACAGGGTTCAAGGCTGGATTAGCTCCTGCTGCCCACTTGAGTCTCTGTTCGATGCTGGACTGTTGAGTTATGATCTTGTCTTCTGTGGCTTTTACAGCTGGCTCCAGTTGAAGAAGAGACTGAACCCGCTGTAATTGATAATAATAGTAATAATGGATAATAATAATAATCATCATCTTTGACAAAAAAGGAAAAGATCATTCACTTTATCTTGTTTAATTCAGCATACCTTTCTCATGTCGTTCATGATGCTGGCTTTAGCAGGGCTGATCATGCTGTTGCCTCTCAAGGGACAGCGCAGTAGATCATCTTCATACAACCACTACATCAACAAATCGAATGGACAATACAAGAAATATTATAAAAGAGGTCTTAGCACCTTGTTTTACAGATGCACTGAGGGATTCTAGATCAGAGTAAAAATAACAAGAGGAATTCCAAAATCAATCTGTGGGTAAGCTGTGCCCTGACATTAATCACCCCGGACGTTGTGTCAGGGATCAATACAAGGTTGAAGGTATAAAGGAAAATGGACAACTCCAAAGTGTAGCATGTGTTTATACACCTGTGTGCAATCTGAACCATGGCAAGGGTGGGTCCAGGGGGTTGGGGGGATGTGGATCCAAGAAAACAGAGGATCTGAGGGGATCCAGGGTGGGGATCCAGGGGACTAGCCACCATCATTTAGAGTTAAAAAATAAATAAAGGATAAGATAAAACCTAAAGAAGACACTGTGATTCTTGGCTCTCTTCAAGTCTCTTTGCATCTCCCTCAAGCTCATGTAAGCCCCTTCTATTCTGTGCTAGAAGAAGAATATCTATAGCTGAAGCATACCTGGAACCTTGCTAGTTGTAACTGAGATCTTTGAACCACACCCTTGTAGAGACTGATGTTGTGGTCCAGACGTCTGTAGAGAAAAACATCACCAACTAGATTAGCGTGTTGAATAAGTAAAGTTCAATTTAAAGTTAGTATTATTAACAACACAGACACTTTAAAACCAGCCTGTTTAACCCCATGATGGCTTCACAGATATCTGCTGATATGTAGATAGAGGTTTTTCATCATCACGTGACGGCAGCCATGTTGGATGGCAGGAACAATACAATCGTTTTACATGAGAAAGAATTCAATTTCCAAGAGCGAAGGGATTTTATTCTTCTGCCATCTAACCACAGGCAGCCCAAGCTGAATATTATGACGTCGGCACGTGATGGTGCAAAACCTCTGTGGAATGTACTGAGGTGTTTCTAAAATATGCAAGTCAATCCATTGTCACGCATGTATCTTGTCACTTAAGTGTGTTGTTACACTAGCAATGGCATAAGTCAATCCATTGTCACGCAAGTATCTTGTCACGTAAGTGTATTGTCACACTAGCATTGGTATAAGGTGCTTTTATGTTTTGGAATCAATCCTACGAACCTTGCAAAGTCGTGTTTTCTCCATGCTACGTCRTAAGCACTGGTCAAAGAACTCATTTGTGAAAACTGTTTTTGCTGGAARCTTCCCTTCTTGATCTTGATGTCAATCACCTGATAGGATTGACAAGTATCAGTATCATCACTTTCAATAATATATGGACATAGTCATGCATTTTAGGGGTTGAACTCAACATGGCTGTAACAGCTGTTTTAATATATGCATACCTTTTTGGGAGCATTTTCAAAACTGACCGCTGGTCAACCCTACCTCTTGGACAAAGGGAGTACCCCCTCCCCCAGGGGCTTACCTTCTTGCAGGTTTCTTCAATAGTGTACCCTACCACTTTGACAAAGGGAGTACCCCCTCCCCCTCCCCCAGGGGCTTACCTTCTTGCAGGTTTCTTCAATAGAGTGTACCCTACCACTTGGACAAAGGGAGTACCCCCTCCCCCAGGGGCTTACCTTCTTGCAGGTTGGACAAAGGGAGTACCCCCTCCCTCAGGGGCTTACCTTCTAGCAGGTTTTTTCAATAGAGTGTACCCTACCACTTGGACAAATGGTGTACCCCCCTCCCCCATGGGCTTACCTTCTTGCAGGTTTCTTCAATAGAGTGTACCCTACTGCTATCACCACTGTCTGTTCCATCCTCTAATAAATTGAGATACTCATAGACTATAATGCCTATTGCTTGAGAAGGCAGTCCAAGAATCCTCTTCTGTACACTCTCTGCGATGAACTGCCTGATATGCAATGCAAGTTCATCTTCACTATAGCATTTATCAGCTATCCAGTTGTACTGTGGTTGGTCTTCGGCAACTCTTTCTCTAGCTTTGGGTTCAGGAGCTTCTTGAAGGGAAAATATATTAAAGTTTCACAACTAGTGCACCTAGATAACTGTGCCCTGACTTTGTCAAGCACAGAGGCTATGTCAGGGTATCGATAAAAAGCGATTTCTTTTAAGTTTACGGCTTAAGTTACACCTGAAAAGCATTCGTTCTTGATAGAAATATTCATTGAAGTTAAGGAATTATTAACTACCTTTAGTGTTTTCCACTAGTACTTTACAATCTTTGAAAAATGCTGCCATAACTGCAAGTCGTTTTAGGAAGAAGAGCTTACTACAAAGCTTGCTGTTTCCACTCCTGTTTGATTCCTATGAAAGCACACAAAAATGTTTTCTCTTATCGTCTAGTCATTCTAGCAAATTCACAGTAATTGGGGACACTTTTCACTCACACACAGTACCACTACGTTCAATATTCGATGCACACAACACTCAACTCATATGTTGATTTTTACGGAGGGAGGAAACAGTAAAACTACTGAGCTAGGTATGCAGGGCAATCCAGTCATGAAAAAGCTTAACAAAACTATTTCTCAGCTTAAACAAAATGATATTTCATTGATCTACAATATTAAACATCCTGGATCTTAAGATTACTGAGGAAAAGGTGCTGCATTTTGTAATATTTTGCAAATGGTTAGACCCATGTTAATGGCGCGGGTCCCATCCCTAATCAACTAGAGACGGTAAAAGAGAACCACAAGTTTATCAGTTGAATTACTGTCAAGTAATCTATAAATCCCCTTTAAACAAATATATATAACAAATTTATTTATTCGTACCTGCAGCTTTTTAGCTTCTTGTACAACATCACAAGTTTTATTCCCAAAACTGCTGTTCATCTGGGCTAAGATCGCATTCATCAAATCCAATTCACTTTCAACTTTAGTGAAAAGTCCATTAAAACCTGCCAGTAGCATCTGTCCTGCTGACATCTGTTCGCTTGACTTCTTCCCTAAAAACATCAAAATTGCACAGGATGACACATGAATTCTCTGTTGCTTGGTTGCTCTTTTGGGCCAACAGTTTATCTATAGCCCTGTTTTACTATAAGATTTTTTAACCCTCTTTTGATAAAGCTTTTATTTATTTATTATAGTGTAAACCTCGATTTTGTGAAGAATATTCAAGTGTTCCAGTGAAGGTACGTGGAGTTTCAAAGTGTTTGTATTGTTGAAGTTGTGTGATCTTTACTCCTATTAATTTTGTCAATATTTTGACCTTGAATGAGGCTAATGAATGCTCAGTGCAAATGAGTCTGTTATCAAGGAACAAAGACGTATGTTATGAATTGGAAAAAAGTCTATTGAAAGTGAGAGACAGCATCAGCCTTTAAACACTTTGTTTGGATAACATGTAATAGAGTACAAGCTTTGTGTGTCAGGGAACGATAAGCGGCAATAAAGTTGGAAGAATCTCCCTTACCAATTGCATTCCTTGACTGTTGGATGGCATCAAACTGCTGCTGTAATATGGATATCTTTGAACTGATGCTGGAGGAATTAACACCCTGTAAACGAAAAAAGAATTATCATCATAATGTTGGTGATGATGATTGTGATGATTAGGGGGTGATAGTGAATGATGACTGTGATGATAGTGAATGATGACTGTGATGGTGATGATTGTGATGATGATTATTGTGGTAGTAAAGAAAGATGATTGTGATGGTGATAACCGTGGTGATGTTGATATATTTTTGAAAGTGAAAGTGTATGATAAGTTGGCTGGGCCATGCTTATTTTAACTGACCCAACAAGGCAGGGAGGTTGAAACATACCTGGCATTCGTGTGTGCCGTTCATCTCAGTTTCTACTGTTTTGGCCAGTGCAGTAATATCTTCTCCATGCACAAGTCTCTCTAAGCTCTCTAACATATGAGTTACGCTAGGATCTCCTGAAGTGAAACTCTTGATGGCCTCAGGAACAATGATATTCCTGAAGTTTGTCATCAATTCCTGCAAGAAAAGAGAATAGAAATCACAAAAATGTTGATAATCAAGTGGTTTTGAAATGATGGGAAAATGGTGTTTTGGAGTTAGGTTTTGTGTAATGAAATGTGTTGGTATAGTAGGTGTGGTGGGGTTTAGTGGGTGCTGGTGTGGTGGTGATGTAGTAAGCTGTGATGTAATGTCAGTGGTTTGGTGGGGTTTAGTGGGTGATGGTGTGGTGGTGATGTAGTAAGCTGTGATGTAATGTCAGTGGTTTGGTGGGGTTTAGTGGGTGCTGGTGTGGTGTGGTGATGTAGTAAGCTGTGATGTAAT